GGGGGGCCCCCCCTGGGGACCCTTTGCTGTGTCCCCCCCCACCACCCCCTCCCCCCCCCCAAAAAAAATCTCCATCTCCTCGCCCCACTGACCTGCTTGATGGGGATGGCGCGGCCGCTGCCCGCCCCCTCCCCCCGGCTGTCCAGGCTCCGCTTCTCCGAGTCGCTGCCCCGGCGCGTCTGTGGGGACACGGGGGACACGTGGCACTGCCAGGGACACCCAGGGGTGCCACCTCATCCCCCCCACCCCGCTGCACCCCCACTGTGGGGACACCCTGGGATGCCCAAGTGTCCCCCCCCCGCCGCCACCAGGGTATCATGGTGGGGATACCCTGGGTGCCGTGTGGCCACCTCTGCCACCACCACCTTGCCCAGGGGACACTCTGGGTGCCACACGTGTCCCACGCTGCCACCACCCCACCAGGAGAACACCCCGGGTGCTGTGTAGCCCCTACTGCCACCACCCCACCAGAGGGACATCCTGGGTGCCACGTGTCCCACGCTGCCACCACCCTACTAGGGGACACCAGAGGTTCCACGTGTCCCCCATTGCCACCACCTTGCCCAGGGGACACTCTGGGTGCCACACGTGTCCCACGCTGCCACCACCCCACCAGGAGAACACCCCGGGTGCTGTGTAGCCCCTACTGCCACCACCCCACCAGAGGGACACCCCAGGTGCCACGTGTCCCCTGTTGCCACCCCGGGGGTCCCGGCGCACTCACGGCGAAGAGGCTGGTGCGGCGCTTGGCCCCACGGTGCAGGGAGCTGGGGGTGCCCAGGGGGGCCGGGGTCTCGCTCCGCAGCTCCCGGTGGCTGACGTTGGGGGTGGAGGGCAACGAGGACGAGTAGTCGCTGGTGTGGCCACCGTTGCTGGCCTGGATGGGACACGGGGTCAGCACCAGCATCCCGTGGCCGGAGGGAAGGGTGAGGGGGGGGGACAGCCCCAGGCTGGGGGGGGGTACCTGGCCGGGGTGCATGCCCCCGACGGGGGTGGAAATCCCCCCTGACAAACAGATGAGAATTAATATGTATTTGCTCCAGAAAGAACGTGGGGGCTTTGCCAAATAAATCAAGCCTCTATGTTCATCTCCTTTAAGATAAAAGTCACATCAGCCCTTTGAGACCTTGAAGGGAAAAATTTGGGCTGATGGTTGGGCCGGGGGCCTCGGTTTTTGGTGCGTTGGCAGTTGGGAGAGTGGCGGGGGAGAGGGATGCCGAGCTCCTGGGTCTCTCCTCCCTTCTTCCATCCCCGCCTTTGGGTTGTGCCTGCATCCTCTGCTCCGACGGGGACCTGAAGCCCTCGGAGACGGGAGGTACCCGGTGCTTTTCCCTGCCCGGTACCGGGCCCGCGGAGCCTGGAGGTACCCGGTACCTTTCCCAGCAGCGGGGCCGGCGGCAGCCGCCATGGCCGGGGCAAGGCTGCCCCCTGGCGGCGGCGCGGGGGGGCGGCCGGGGGGGGGGGGGGGGGGGGGGGGGGGGGGGGGGGGGGGGCCGCCGGGGGGGGGGGGGGGGTACCTGGCCGGGGTGGATGCCCCCGACGGGGGTGGATGCCGCCGAGTGGCTGGGGGTGCTGGGCAGAGACTTGCAGGACGCCATGAGCTGCTGCTGCTTCTTCAGTGCCACCACCTTCTGGGCCACTGCACCGGGAGCCTCGTGTCAGGGG